CCCTGCTTCTCGTGATCTCTTCTATAATGCTTTTTTTCGTTCCACAAATACTACGATTCTAGAGGACACAGTTGTCCACAGAAGGGGACCACTTGCCGTCTACGTAGGGGAACATGCGGAAATCATGGGCGCGTTGGAGAATTTACTCGGGCGCTCTGTGGACGTCGTCGCTCGCTGAACGATAACGCGATTCCGGTAATCCCATGAGACCGAAAGGAATGCAGTAGATTTAGATGTCAATGACCGAATACTCGTCAGAGGAGACATTGGAACTTGGTCACTCACTGGCTAATTTGGGGAGGGGGGAAGGGGGTTCTGCATATCCCAGAAATAAGAGAATTAAGCAAGGACTTTTCGGAGAGCGATGAAATGAAATAAATGGATACGATAGCGAGCTATTAAATGGAATTTTATTGGAATTTTAGTGCATGAGCGCTGATTTATGGGCAAGGGTCCAGACCCCAGGCAGATCTACTGCGGTGTCCATACTTCACCGAGGCCGCCTTCCAGCCGTTCAAAGTACTGGTTTTCGCTCTTTCAAGGTGGCTTCCATGTGATCTTGCAGCTGTAGCCAAGCACTTGCCACTGTCCCCGGCTTAGAGCCGTCGAGCCACGGCGGCGATGTTTGACTCCGTAGGGGCACCGACTGGTACAGGTCACCTTCTGAAGAACTGTAAACAGGGTACGGCATCGTTGTGCGAAACCCATCGGGAGGTCGTACTTCGCCGCTGAGGAGGGGCGGGGGTCGTAAACGCAGGGTCGGTGAGCACCAAACAGCACAAAAGTGTCATCGCTAAGTTTGATGGAGCGGACGGAAAGCTGCAGAGGACCCGGATGTAAGGAAGACTAAAATATTAAAACAATTGATTAGCAATATCAATAGTTAGCATGAACTCGTAAGTACGTAGATGACTAAATAATACATCTCAAACAGATTCGTGCGTATCGACCTTTCCAAACCCTAAACAAACATCTGCTTGCATGGACAAAAATCACCTAAAATCAGAAGTTACACCTTTCCACCACCTCTGCGTAGAAGCGTAATGCACGGCGCACACTCGGACCAAATCGATCGATGATAAAAATTATGCTTTGACTCAGTTCAACGGGAATATGTGTTTTGAAGGCATATTGAAGTTCGCGAATGAGTATCCTTACAATGGCACAGAAGGAGTCGAGCTTTTGAGTGGCTCAGAACGTGACCCATCTTGAATATCTTTTGATCTGACGGGTCTCCAGGAACATTGTAGAGCTCTCGTAGGTTGATTTCAGGAAGAGGAAGTATTGGGCGTTCCGATGGTATTTGTGTTACAAGAGATTGCGTTTGAAAGAAGTTATTTTCGTCTAAAGCATAAAAACCCGCTCGCGATTTACCACTAACGCGTCCGTAACCCATCCGAAATATTTCACGAACGGAGAAAGATTCAGACTGCGAGTAGATAGAAAACGCAACAGTAGAGACGTTGCTTCGACATGCCTAAAGCTGGGTTTGGCGCGCCGCTAGCCCATTCGCCACAAGTTGTTGATGCGGGTAAACGACAGCAGTTGCTGGAAAACGACTGCGAGCGATATGATACACTACTGTCGTTCGATGAAAGAAAGAAGAAAAAGAGACGGGTCGGCACCGCGCCAAACCAATCCCCGTTTACTGTAATTGTAACTATTCAGATGACGTGGTGCGATCTTCTGGTCTGCTGTCTCTTCAATCCGATCATCTACCATTGTCCGCGGCTATTCGATCGCTACCCGAACGTCTTTCTTCACAACAAACGTATCGCCCAAATGGACGAGTTCGCCGGTTTTCTCTACAACGTTCGAGAACGACGATATTCCCAGTGACGTCATCATGTTTAGCTACAGAAATCTAACCTGTAGTATATCACTGTATAAAGGTTATTTATATATGATCATATTTATGGGTTTATCTTTGAAGGGCGCGACCTCCAGATGGTTAGAGAATGTGAGACGCTTAGTGGGTTATAGTGTAAATCTGAACATTGGTTACCTTAAATCCTCTTTAACCGACGAATGAGTCGGATGTTTGGGCCTTTCAATAAAAATTCTACGTATTAACCTCGATTACACAAAAACGAAAACAAACTTTTGGTGCTAGATGGGGGGACACGAGCAGAAATTCATGATTTTTAGACAGAACTTATGTGATTTTCAGGTGGAACTTGAATGCTTTACGAGCAGAACATGGAGTTTTTTAAGCGCAGAGCATGGTGTTTCGTGCGCGCAGAAATAGTGTGATTTTTAGACAGAACATTGATTTTTATACTGGCAGAACATGTGTGATTTAGACAGGGCATGAGTGATTATTATACTCGCAGAATACGTGTGATTTTTAAACGGCACATGAGTGGTTTTCATACTGGCAGGTATTTAAAAACCGCCATGTTCTGCCCGTATAAAAACCGCCATGTTCTGCCCGTATAAAAACCGCCATGTTCTGCCCGTATAAAAACCGCCATGTTCTGCCCGTATAAAAACCGCCATGTTCTGCCCGTATAAAAACCGCCATGTTCTGCCCGTATAAAAACCGCCATGCTATGGACGCAGAAACTGGCCGAACGCGCAGGACCTTGCAATTTTTATACGCACAAAACGTGGGTTATTTTTAGACAGACATGAGTGACACTGATACGTCAAGAAGATGCTCTTTCACATAATTTTGGGAAAAACAGTCTAGAGTGAGTTTTATTCAAGACGATAACTACATTGTTGGTATTGAATTGTACATTTTCTCAATTTCCTTTTCAAATCGTTGTTTCAAAAGATGACGTCGCAGCTTCAACGTTGGCGTAACCAAGCCGTTTTCCGCAGTGAATTCCTAGGGAAACAAGATATTTCATGGAACCGATCAAAACAGATTCGTAGGAAACCTCAGAAGTGAGATGGATTTCCTTGATGAGCTCGATCGATTGAAGTTTTTTCGATTTCGCGGTCTGATTGAGCTCTTTGAGCACAAACTGTCGAATGTCAGCCTCAGAAAGTAGCTCATCGTCGGCAAAAGAGACGTATTTGGCGAGCTGAATGCATTGTCACAGTCATGTTTTATTTGCTTTATTTCTTTATTCATGAGGTGCAAAAAAAATGAACACGGAAGGAAGAAGGAAGGAAGGAAGGAAGGAAGGAAGGAAGGAGGAAGGAAGGAAGGAAGGAAGGAAGGAAGGAAGGAAGGAAGGAAGGAAGGAAGGAAGGAAGGAAGGAAGGAAGGAAGGAAGGAAGGAAGGAAGGAAGGAAGGAAGGAAGGAAGGAAGGAATGAAGGAAGGAAGGAAAGGAAGGAAGAAGAAGGAAGGAAGGAAGGAAGGAAGGAAGGAAGGAAGGAAGGAAGGAAGGAAGGAAGGAAGGAAGGAAGGAAGGAAGGAAGGAAGGAAGGAAGGAAGGAAGAAGGAAGGAAAGGAAGGAAGGAAGGAAGGAAGGAAGGAAGGAAGGAAGGAAGGAAGGAAGGAAGGAAGGAAGGAAGGAAGGAAGGAAGGAAGGAAGGAAGGAAGAAGGAAGAAGGAAGGAAGGAAGGAAGGAAGGAAGGGAAGGAAGGAAGGAAGGAAGGAAGGAAGGAAGGAAGGAAGGAAGGAAGGAAGGAAGGAAGGAAGGAAGGAAGGAAGGAAGGAAGGAAGGAAGGAAGGAAGGAAGGAAGGAGAAGGAAGGAAGGAAGAAGGAAGGAAGGAAGGAAGGAAGGAAGGAAGGAAGGAAGGAAGGAAGGAAGGAAGGAAGGAAGGAAGGAAGGAAGGAAGGAAGGAAGGAAGGAAGGAAGGGAAGGAAGGAAGGAAGGAAGGAAGGAAGGAAGGAAGGAAGGGAAGGAAGGAAGGAAGGAAGGAAGGAAGGAAGGAAGGAAGGAAGGAAGGAAGGAAGGAAGGAAGGAAGGAAGGAAGGAAGGAAGGAAGGAAGGAAGGAAGGAAGGAAGGAAGGAAGGAAGGAAGGAAGGAAGGAAGGAAGGAAGGAAGGAAGGAAGGAAGGAAGGAAGGAAGGAAGGAAGGAAGGAAGAAGGAAGGAAGGAAGGAAGGAAGAAGGAGGAAGGAAGGAAGGAAGGAAGGAAGGAAGGAAGGAAGGAAGGAAGGAAGGAAGGAAGGAAGAAGGAAGGGAAGGAAGGAAGGAAGGAAGGAAGGAAGGAAGGAAGGAAGGAAGGAAGGAAGGAAGGAAGGAAGGAAGGAAGGAAGGAAGGAAGGAAGGAAGGAAGGAAGGAAGGAAGGAAGGAAGGAAGGAAAGGAAGGAAGGAAGGAAGGAAGGAAGGAAGGAAGGAAGGAAGGAAGGAAGGAAGGAAGGAAGGAAGGAAGGAAGGAAGGAAGGAAGGAAGGAAGGAAGGAAGGAAGGAAGGAAGGAAGGAAGGAAGGAAGGAAGGAAGGAAGGAAGGAAGGAAGGAAGGAAGGAAGGAAGGAAGGAAGGAAGGAAGGAAGGAAGGAAGGAAGGAAGGAAGGAAGGAAGGAAGGAAGGAAGGAAGGAAGGAAGGAAGGAAGGAAGGAAGGAAGGAAGAAGGAAGGAAGGAAGGAAGGAAGGAAGGAAGGAAGGAAGGAAGGAAGGAAGGAAGGAAGGAAGGAAGGAAGGAATGAAGGAACCGCCGCCCCCTTGACCAGAGCGAAGTGTGCCTTCGGATAAAATGGAAACAAGGATAGCAGGAGTTTATAGGAGCTAGGGCAGAGAACTCACCTCGGATCGTCCAGCGATAGTTGTCCGTAAAATTGTCATGTTCACGACAGCAATGCCGACGAGGAACGATCGTGTGGTCATTCCAGTGATGAAAATCTGCAGGTGGTTAGTCATTTGTTTTCAGGGTCTCTAAAGGTCTTGGTCTATAGCCGTAGGTCGCGTCCAATCAAATAATAGGCTCTAATCGGCTTGGGAGGGGCATTTTGCACTTTCACTAGTTTCTTTTGCTACTTCCTGTCAATTTGGGCTCACTCTACTGCCTAGCTTTACAGTAATTTACGTCACACAGAGGCATCGGCAATGATCGATGGGACCAGCAAAATGCCCCCCCCCCCAAGTCGAACTGCGCCCAAAAGTTATTCTTCTTACAACTGGGTCCTGTTCATCTTGCGCTACATTCTATGAAGTAGGACCCACAGATAAGTAACAGGGATCATTACCTGCTCAATGAGAGGCGAGTTAAGATAGACAGCTTCAATTTGTTCCGGTGACACAAAATCCCCTTGGGCGAGTTTAAACAGTGCATTTTTCCGGTCGATGATTTTCAGTGATCCATTCGGTTGCCATTCGCCAATGTCACCAGTATGAAGCCAACCCTAAAAACTTTCGAAACAATTTATATTGAGCGGGAAGGGCGCACTATTATCGGCCTAGGTTTGTTAGGAAACTCTCCGTACCTCCTCATCGATAGTTTTCTTTGAAAGCTCTTCATCCATGAAGTAACCCTTCATTACTGCTGCACCACGGAAACAAACCTCTCCTTTATCCTGAGCTGCAAAGTAGTTCATCTCTGCGACATCCACCAATTTGACCTGAACGGGGCTCATTTGAAGCCATTAGTGGGCTACATAAATAAAAAAAAGACCTGCGCCCAAGGTGCTGGACCACCAACATGTCCCGTGCTTACCGTCGAACGGCAAATTCAGTGTACCAGCCGCCGCACATAGTGCTGAACTAGTCGGGAAAAGCAGCCGTAGGCCCTGAAGAGAAATAAAAGAAGAACAGCAAGCGTTTCCATTGGTGTAATTTGTGCGTTGGATGGTTCATATTCAGCCAGTCCGGTTTCTCAGCCCCTGCCGGTCTTCGTTTTCTTGCGGATTGTACTGCAGGACTTCTCCACTCCTTAAGCCTACACCCTAGGTTTCACCCTGTCGAACGGCTCAAAAATAGTACTTTGAACTGTTTAGTATTAGTATGCCTTGTTCACGCCGACCGTATGGGCGGAGACAGGTGATTAGTGGGCTTCGATCCGTCCTGTTTACCATCACAGAGCGATGCGCATCAATGGGGGAGCACTGACTTTCTTCACCCACATCAAGATCGTAACTATGCCATCGATAAGATTGAAGAAGGCTTAATAATAACCAGAAGACAAAAAGATAAGGCTAGTCGGTTAGCATGAGGCCTACTGCTTCCTTTAGTTCCAGGTGATAGGTTTCTTTTACAGCCCCCCCCTCCCCATTACAGTCACTGATATAAGAAGTCACACGAGAGGCAGTGAGACAAGCGGCGAATAAAAGTGGTTGTAAAAGAAAGATTCAAGATCTCTCTAAACATACCCTTCCATCAGGGGGCATCCATAAGCAATCCGCGTGAACTCCATCACGGACGGAATGACTGGAGCACCGCCAGTAGTGAGCATCCGAAGCCGACCACCGAACTGATCGTGGATCTGAAATTTTTGAAGATGATTTCTCTAGTGATGGACATCACTTCTTATGCACATTGTTGCTACATCGTTTATAAGGTCCCATAGAAGCAATAAGCGGGGCTGTTTGGCTTGGAAGGGACATCTTGCGCTTTCGCTCGCGCCCTAGAGTTGTAGAATATGGGGCGGGAGGGTGGCAGACTGTTGGTAGAGAGTATGGCGCGATAGGAGGGTACCAGCTGTCTGCTACTCTCCCGCACACTGGTAGACGCTGGCAGACGCTAGAACCATACCTATACTTTCCAAGCCCTCGAGACGCTGGCAGACGCTGGCGAATGCTGGGAGACGCTGGCAGACGCTTGGCAGACGCTAGATCGATATCGACACTTTCCCAGTCGCTGACGCTGCCGCACGCTCGCAACGCTAGTGGACACTGGCAGATACGCTGCCGCAAAGTATGAACGCAGCCTTACCTGTTTTACACTGGGTGGGATTTTGAAAAGGATTCATGCAGATTCTCAGTAATGGCAACCCCTACGACCTCACCGCCCTTATGACGACCACCCGTTAGAAGCAAAATCCTTTTTCTGTGGGAGGAACATCTGATCAGTTAATTGCTTTGCGGCTATGTGATGTAGTGAGGTGCTCAATATTTCCCGGTGTCACATCGAATGGACGGAATCAGACTGTAGCTGAGCTATGGAGGTGTCCGGAAAGTTTAATGCCTATATCCCATAGACAAAGTGTTAAATTCTGCTGTAAAATGCGGTTAATAAAATAGTATGAATAAAGTACCTTCTTGAAGACCAATTTGTCCCAGATGGTGTCGTATCGCTGAATTCCATCACGTAACATTCTCAGTTTCACCTGAAAAAAGTGTGGCTCAACGTAGTTCTAAACGCTTCCTATAACAAAAAGGAGAACCTCTTTTGCATGAGCGAAGAGTGTCCGGATAATAAGATTCTTCTTTGAAATCTGCACATGAATGTGATCATGGAATTTGTTCAGAAGTCTCGGTACCAGACTGACTATCGTTGGGCGGAGTATCTGCATTTCAAACCATTATGTGCAATTCTTAAAAGCGAGATATAGAAGGTGTTTGTGAGCATTTTTGAAGTTACGGTCCACGTTGATCGAATCGTGGGCGGGGTCGGTCCGCCGCTATTTAATCTTCATGACCATGAATCAGACATTGAAGGGATGCTCCGCGCTCATCCCATGGGCGGAGGCACTAATGTGCCTTCCTTGTCTATGCGCAGAAAGGAAGGAGGGCGCTCGGGAGAAGGTATACTGCGGCACAGATACCCTTGAAATGAGGCATCAGAGAAGAACAAGTGCAAAACTGGGTCTACACCATTGAGTACAGGGATCACTGCATTCAAA